TCATAACGGCCCCATCCTTAGATCTATGCAGACACGCAGCACGGTGTTTAATCTAGAGCTGGAATCTTTTCCATATGCCCCGCTGGTATTGCATCTCCTTCAAACGGAAACGCTAGGCCGACGTGCAAGGCCGGCTCATTAACGTTATTATTTTTGTAACTATAAATAAGTAGTGGATTACCGTTAACACCATGACACCAAAAGTCTAATTAATAGACGTACCTCAAAACAGAGATCGCCCCAGGTTCGAGCATGATGGGCAGCGGATTAATAATCGATAAGCCGATCCACCGCTTCGTAAAACAGCGAAGGATGAGGCCATGTGCAACCTGTAGTGATCATTTGTTAGTCGCAATGGACGAATCCAGGCATACTGAACAGATGGTGGAATGATGGCGTGAGAACATACAACAAGGACATCAGCAGGTTTCTCCCCATGCATATGAGGCTGCTGAATCTCTTTGATTTGTACGATAATCCTGTCCAGCCGTTCCTCAACTTGGTGTCTCGATCTTTATAGAATGAGAAGCAGGTCATCATCTAGAGTAGTGCTTAACATACTCTCCACCCTCACATCCATCTGTCCAGATATCCCACTTCTTTTCTTTGTCGTGACCCCTCTCTTGCCTGAGGATTCTGATTTCGTGGTCCTTAAGCCCTTCATAATCGCCATAATCCCACTCCGTGATGTCCTCGGTGTAGGTATATTTTCCTTCGGCGAAATCTGATTTAGGTCCCAGCAATAACTCAAAGGTCTGTTTGGTTCTTCTCCTTGGACTGACAAAGATGCGCTCAAGGCGACACGGGTCGAGGAGTTTTCCCGGTCCCACGAGCATCATAGCCATCCCGGAAACTTGAGCAGAGCCAGTTGGGTTCAAGGCGATATCAGTAGTGCTGGTGAAACGGCCCAATTTGGCCCATTCGGTTTCTCCTACCAGGCACTCATCGTCAACGAGTAGTTTATTATACAACCAGATAATGGACTAACCATGGCGAAAAAGGAATACACGGGGTGTCAGAGCATTGTTAGCGGACATGATGACGGTAAGTTTAGACTTCTTTCAATGTCGATAATAGTCAGGTAGAATGGTAAGGCGTATTCTGTCACAGAACGAGTTGCCACCGATTCCCCTCACCAAGGAGGGTCTCTCAAGCGCACAGTATATTTTAGTGTTCTAAGCGTTCTGAACAAAGATTTACTGAGTAATCATGTATCAATAGTTTAGCCGAAGTAATCCGTCGTTTTCCTAGAACCTAACGAGCTTGGCATTCGCATGTCGCACGATGTCTCCCCCACCCAAATTTACGTGAGACGGACATATTCTGGCATTTTGTCGCATACTCGTCGCCACAATGACATACCACCCAATTTCAGCATTTTCTTGTATGTGGGAGACAAAGCTATGACCAACGAGGTCGCGGAGAGATTCTCTGCGCTCTGTCATCGATATGAAGTCGACGGCATTCTCTGACCACTCGGCCAAGTCTAGGAGCGTGTATGGCCGATGCA